ACATAGGGGGGAGTCGCTACTAGCTGCAGTGGGAAATTAAAAAACATACCTGTAGGAAACCAGTTTTCATTAGTTCCTTTGCTCATGAACAGATTGCTTTGTTTTTTAAATCATTAAGAAAACTTCCACTTAGTTTGTTTGAAACATAACATCTTCTGTCTCAAAGTGTTCACACTGTAATAGAAGAACTTGACAAGTTTTCTGTGCTAAGTGGTCATTAGCTAGCATGCCTGAAAACTGAAAACAGGCAGGAGAATCCAAGTCCTAAGTCACTTACGTGTGGCCTAACAAGTCGTCCTTTCTCCCAGGCCTAATGAAACAAAATTCCCTTTTGCAAAATGACACAGGTGCAAGTGTAAACACAGTGCTTCCTAGAGACATGAAAGAAGTAGTTCACTGTTTCAGCAACAACCCCAGGCTTGTCTCCTGCTTGCCATATCCCTTTCTCCTACGTATTTTTAAATAGCCACATGCTCCACTTCAGTGCTCTTTTCCTATTTATCTCACTTCTTGGTTCCTGCCCCTCAATTACTCCACTAACATCATCTGCCTGACATGCACCTTCTTTACATACTGCACTCTCATTCCTTGTTCTCTCTCTCAGTAACTGTGTTTTCTTCCACATATCTCGCTCCTGTGGGCTCAGGTTTAAATTGACATAAAACTGCTCACATATTGAACCACAAAAGTGATTTTTATCTATTATGTTGCTGACACATTGATACAATACTAATAATTTGAAGAAATATCCTTTTAATGTTTGTCAGTTATGCTACTTTGTCATTATGGAATGAATCAAACCAGTGGAAAGGTTTCTATTGATTACATTAAGTTTCTGGACAGTGCTACTCTTACATTCCTCTAGGTACCATATAATTTCTGTTTTTAATTGTCATTTCAACTAATTTCAACTAGTACAAAAAGTAAAAATCGCTACCTTATAATTTCTTGATCACCCTTTCAGTCTTTTTGAAAAATAAACAAATGTAGTACCTTCTAATCCTCACATACAGTAACTGATCTTAATGACCGTATATTTTTAACAGTTCACTTGCTTCATTCTTAGTTTCTTTAAGAACTCTTGATAATAATCATTTAGCGTTAGATACTTCAACTCTTTAAGAATCTCTCTGTTGACACTTCAGTACATACCCATATCTCATCTTTATTACTAAAAAAAAGTGACCTGAGGAAATCTGTTCATTTGCTATGAGGACTATAGTACAGAAATTTAATTTCTCCTCAATATTTTTATGCTTTTAGCTTTTTCTTTTATAGTTGCTCAGCCAACTGACCCACCAGTCCTGTCATGACTTCCCCAATTTGAAAAAGTGTATGTTTATTTGTTAGCAGATATTCTCACTCTCTGAGATATAGATACCTTGTTCCTCAAATTCCCTTCTTAGCCTTTCTAATTTTACTTTCTTTTCTTTTCAAGTTGATTGGATTTAAACTTTCTCAATGATACATTTTAGGCTCAAATAACTTAAGTATTGAACCTTGACATTTAGCTGTATTGATCTCCTCTTTGCCTTCCTATTTTCTTTTATTTGTTTAGGAATATTTGTTCTGAGACTTTTGTGCTATGCTTAAGTACCCTCCATGCTGAGACTAAAGATTTTCATTTCACCACTTTTGATTGAAGATATTTCTTATTTCTTTTCCTTTTCAAAAAACAGAAAGGTTTACCTGTCCTTGCTGAGGATGTAATAGTGAAATCCTACCTATGCTTTATCATGAAAATTTCCCCCAAAGATTCTGAATATAATTTTATTATGTTCGTGATTAATCAGCATTTTTTAAAAAGTTATTTTGAAATAATTCCTGTTAGCGTGTGTAACTGTAATTTTGTTTTATGTCAGACTACAGTTTCCAGTAAACACACATTTCAAGTGTCAAAAGGTAACTTTCCGAAGCACTAGCTGATCAGTTCTTGTAGAAGGGATTCAAGTCATTTGTTAGGACTGTTATACTGGACTTTGCTTCCTTGTTGAGCTTCTCCTACACAGTGTTTCAATATAATTTTCTTGATATGCCTAGTACTAAAATCCTTCTTTATGTGTATTCTATTATTTAGGATTTGTGGCCATCATTTGTGGCCATATCTATCTATTAGCCTCTCCACATCACAACTTTCTCACAAAACTGTTAATAAGGATTTTTGTGGATTTTTTTATTTCATTTTTTCACACTAAATATATGCTATATACTGAGTACACGGTGACATAATACAACATATAAGTATCTTTGGCACTCATTGGCATTACCTTCACACTTTCTCTCTGTAGCTTTTCCACGTGCAATATCCTGTAGCAATTTCATGATGAATGCAAAGTTATGATGTCACTCTAAAGCATAGTGCGTGCCGCAAATTTCACAGGAAAAAATATTTTATATATACTGTAAAATCATCAAAGAAATAAAAAATTCATTACTTGCACAGGTAGATTAAAATCAATAAATGCCATTTTGTTATTATAAACTGCAATGTGATGTAACAAACATCAGCCTGGCAGATGCGTATATTCATATGGAGGCATAATTTTTAGCTGGCTTTTTCCAGTTAGGTACCTAAATCTCTATTGGGATTGAGGGCCACAATTTTTAAATAGGTTAAACTGATGCTATTTCCAAGAAATCACTAGAAATTGCCAATAATCAGCTATATCTGAAAATGAAACTAGAAAGTAGCTGCATGGAAGTTAACACTAAAAATCTCGGTGACTTGTAGAGGGACAGGGAAGGGATAAGGATTTCACTGATGACCATCTCTTGACAGTCAACTGATAGTCAAATAAATTTGAGGATCTAGTACAAAACTTCTCTCCCCCAAAACTTCCCCCCCCCCCCAAGAATTCTAGATATGTCATTAGTGTCAATAGGATGGTGTAAACTGCAGGTGTTTGATGGAAAAAAAGGCAAATTTTACAAGCTGTTACTCCAGTTACTTGGATAAAGGGTTACATAGTTCACCCCTTAATTCAAATTCCTGAGCACTTGTTTTACAAATTGCAAAGTGACCACAAATGTATTGACTTGATTGTGAAGGCAGAATATTTATTCTGTAATGCTGAGTCATATTAAGGGGGGAAAAAAAAAAAAAAAAAAAAACAGTCACCAGGCTGGAGAAAAAAAGCAATGAAGACATTAGCCTACTCCAAAAAAATCATCAAATACATTTTTTTTAATATGAGAAAATCAAGAGATAAATTGTCAGAAACATATTGCACAGTATATGCCACCGTAATAGTGAAATGATTATTTTATCCTGCTGGTGCTCCACGTGCTCCTCCCTAAAGGACAGTAGAGCTGACATACGCGTATGCACCTGTGCACACACATATGCAGAACATACCCCAAATGCAGCAGTTTTTCTCGCACGCTAGAGGGAGCCATTACATAATTGCAATGACCTTTTTTTTTTCTCCCCCCTATTAGCAGTACTTTGGCATCAGGTATGTGAACCGCCCGAGATATCCTGCGCGCTTGGCGTGGGCTACAGAGTAAGGAAAGGAAAGCACAGAACCCAGGAATGAAGCGAGGTCTCCTGGTAACTCAGGGGCTTACTCTGGAGTTTGTTCCCTTTTGAGAATCGTGCTGCTTTTAGATGTGACTTTTATAAATAAGTGACTTAGCCGAATGCTCTGATTTTTCAGCAGCCAATCTGAAGCCTTCGTTCGGAAAGCGTAGCCCATTTTGTAAACGTATTCTGTATTTCCTCCGTCTGTCACTCTCACACAGAAAGTTGGCACGTCTGAAAGTAGTGATTTTACGCTGCCACTAATGTATGTATAGTTATTTATATACTGCATTTTAACACAGCATTAGTTTTATAATAGTTAGGAGCAGACTCGTTCTGCATGGCAAACTATCCATTTCAAAGCTACAAAGAGGTCTTCAGGACTGGAGATGGGTCTAGAAAAAAACCACTCATTTGAATTCATAAATTCATAAGACTTTCTCTAAGTTGAATGATATTTATGGACATCATAACTCCGCGAGGGCTGAAGGTTATCCCATTGAAAGAGCAGCCTTTTTCACTCAGTCCTTTAAGAGCCGCTCCCAAAATAATTGTCGGGGGCGCCTTTACAATCGCCCTGGAGATGGTTTCCCTTTCGCCCTGAGCGATTCCCGTTACTTAAACGCCCCCGCCCTTCGCACCTTTATAAACGGCAGCTCCGTGTCGGGCACATCGCGAGGCGCGGTCCCAGCAATCGCAGCACTCACCTGGCCGCCCGCAGACCTCCGCCGGCTCCCGTCCCGTCCCGTC